ATATATTTCATTTTAGTTTTAAAATTTAAATTTTGTCATTTAAAGTGTATTATCTAATTTAAAATGTATTTTTTTAGAATTTGAGTAATTAAATTGTTTATATATTTTTTGACGATTTTTTTTTAATTCGCATCAAGTGAATTAATTTAACATATATTAAGTTGTATGCATTAGTAATAAACTGTTATTATGTTTAATTAATATATTAATAAAAAATAAATAATTTAATATTAAAAATCAATTTCTATGAATTTTAAATTCAAACTATTCATTTATAATATTACAATAAATTGAAAAACAATCTTAGAACGTAAACGTTTATCATAATATGATAAACATGTACATAATATGTACATGTTTATTAAACTTATAATACAGATAAGTTTTACCTTGTCAGTGTTTATACGTTCATCGAACAATACGATACGTTTGACACGATTATTGCGCATCACTTTCGGTCACACGTTCGACTGATATATTTGGCCGTCTTTTATACGTCAAAAGGATTCTATTATGAATACGATCAAAATTATTTTGTTATATTATACGTTCATTAATACAGCCAAAAATTACGACCAACAGTGATGCCAATCGTGATGAGCAATAATCTTTTTTACTTAACCCTCTGTAAAGAAATTTCACTCAAAAAATTATTTAGGGTATTCAGTAAGTAAAAAAACGTGTTTTTTTTGTTCTCGTTGTTATAAACAAATGACCTGTTTCTTTAGTGAATAATCTGCATATAACGCTGTAAAAAAATAATTCAATGTTCTAAATTGAAGTAATAAACGCACTAATAATGTGGTAATATTCTATGTTTCTTTTGCATGATGGAACCAGACATTTAGACTTATTTTTAAAATCAGCATCGTAAGCACATGTTGCACACAATCGGTGTAAACAAGGGTCTAAAAATACTACCGGCTTTGATTTGTTACAAACTTCACATTTTTCATCATAAACTATAACAAAATATTTTATATAATTACTATTATTATTATTTATAATAAGGTTAACTAATAGCAAATATATTTATAATGCCAATTCTGAAATTAGACAACATAAAAAATGCTAATCCAAAAACGATTAATAAAATTCGATACATTAAACTAGACTTAGAATTTAAGTATATTCCATGTAAGTATATTTGTCAGCTGTATATAATTGTGTGTACTTCCTTATTATTATTCATAAATGGTTATTTTTAAAATTATTAACATCTCATAAAATTAGTTTTCTTTTTAGCTTTAATATGAAACTGAGAAGATGATTATTTTATGTGTTTATTTTAATAGATTTTTAATTTTGTTGCTACTTTTTCTCAGCTTTTGACAAACTTTAGCTATCAGGGAAAAAAACTAAAATTCAATATTTTTAAATAGAGACTTCTATTATTAATTTGATAATGTAATAGAAAATTACATTTTCAAACAATGATGTTAATCATAGTATACAGAGTGTTCAGTAAATATGGAAACAGGTCAATTGTTGCACATAATGAGAACAAGAGAAATCCGTTTTCTTGCTTATTGAACGCTCTATATAATATTTCCTCCTAAGACCAGTATTATGTAGGACCCTGTGGAATTGCTCTTTACTTTAGGCATTACTTTAGGACAACTTTCAGATACATTGTATATGCTATGCTGTAACCCTAATTTGCTTAATGTTTTTAGCGATGATAACTATTGACTGAAAATAAGTGAGATGAGTAGTTTATATTTATAATGTTATTCTTATAAAAGTATGAACACTCTATTATTTGAAATATGTTTACCTTCACGAAATAAGGCTGGCGCATTTAAAACTGCTACGACTAAAAGAAAAAATACATTCAATAAAAATGTGAAATGATAATGAATTTATGAAAGTTACTACATAGGTCAGCTGGGCAACAGCTCACGCCGTGCTGCATAAAAACGAAGGTTCGACCCCGTTTTGCTAGGCTATGTAGATTTTTTCATATTCTCTACGACGAAGTATTTATTTTAAGACTAGACGTAATATTTTTACTGAAGTAAAATTAATAGTAATTATAGTAACTCAAAATAAAATACTGTATATTAGTAATTTGATTGGGTGGTTTTGTATAAGAATGAGAATTATTGAAATATTATGTGTTTATTTAATAAAATAATAAATATAATTTTTTTATCTTCGATGCAAAGCTGAGAAAGTATTAATTTTACTATGATGCGTTTTTTATTTTTGTCTTTTGTCACTTTTTTTCTGCTCTCACCGAACCGATTAATTTAAACAATTCATCAAAAGATCACAAATCGTATCCAGTCGAAGATATTACCAACAAAAATTAAAAAAATATCCTTCGTTTCCCGTAAATGGGGTAAATCTCCAAAAAAATTAGAAATTAAATAAAAAAAAATAAATAAATAAAAATCGATTATGTTTTATATTTTTTCAATTTTTTTTTACTAAGAACAGCCATAACTTGTTTAAAAATGACCAAATCAATATTAATTTTTTTTTATGCATTTCATTATCATTTTACAAAATTGTTTTATAAATTTGATTCTTTAGCTGTCCATAAGGGGGGACTTTATTTTGTTTTCACGGTGAAAATGACTACCGTATGCTATTTTTGTGTTAAAATTCACGATTTCATATTTTACATTTTTAACTTTATATTTCCATAACATTTTAGAAAATGTATGGATCAATAGAATTTTTTTTAAGAGAAATAGTATTTATATACATCTTTTATGCGACATACTTTTTGTTTAAATCAGATCATTACTCTTTATACAACAGCGGTCAAAACTTTAAATATGCGTATTGAAAGTTGCAATTTTTCAATTTAATTTGAGAAAGTGTTTTGGAATTGCTGACAATTCTATATACATATTAAATTAAGGCTTATGTAATATATTTTAATATGAAAACAAATTTGGAATTTAATTTATTTTTCATGTTGAAAACGGGCATCAATGTTAATAAAAAAAATTATCTTTTATATTTTTAATCTTATAATGTTATAACTTTTTGAAAAAATGATGGATCATTACAATTTTTTAATATAAGTACTATTTATATACGTCTTTATGCGATATCCTTTTTTTTTAATTCGGACCATTTCCCTTTATACAAGGGTGGTTCAAAACTTAAAAATGCGTATTGAAAGTAGAACTTTTTCAACTTATTTTTAATTAAACTATATTTATTGATTATTCATACGTAACCTAATTATCAAAATATAAATATTTGTTATATTAATTAGAAGGATTTTGNGTAACCTAATTATCAAAATATAAATATTTGTTATATTAATTAGAAGGATTTTGTTGTTATTTATGCCATATGAGAAACTCTAATTGGAGATTTAAAATCGGCGCAAAAATTGATTTAGAAAAATATATTTTGATCAAAATTCCTCGTAATTTAGTAAATTTATTTATAAATAACAAATAATTTTTTTTTATGTGTTGCAATTTCTCTGTAAAAATTACAATACTAAATCATTTAATAAAAATTTCATTCTGTAATTAATTGCTATAATAAATATTTATTCGTATATTACACTTGTAAATCATAAAACTTGTAATCGTGATATAAATAAGAAAATAGAAGATCATGTTGTTTTTGGAATAATCCACAAATTTTTTTAAATTAAACACTATCTACAGATTTGTATGAAGCGTTTTTTTAAGATGGTGATATTAACCGCTGTCAGTTATCATTATACTTGACCCAACTATGCCACATCACATTGTGCAGCAACTCCACTGTATTGGGTTTCTTTAGGGTATTAGTACGAAGGTTTTATGAGAAAATATAAAATATAGAACAATGTGATATTTGAAAATGTATTATTATAGTAATAGTTTATAATAATGATTAATTTGCACAATTTAGTATTTTGTATTGAACACACAGGCAACCCATTCAAATATTCAACTAGGCTGGTTAAATTTGTACAAACGATATTGATTTTATTTATTTAAACAATATTTTATTTCAGTGATCACTTAATTTTTAATACACTTATATTAGTTTCACCGCATGTTTGTTTCTATCTCTCCACGCACCACGTGTTATTTATTCTCGCGTATCCCGTCGTCTATGGCCTTGAGACTAGACTGTCGTTACGCATTCACCCCACCCCGCTCACCAAAGGCAGAAAACACTATTTTAGTACAATTTTATTTTTGGTTTTCATACCCGTACACGCGTACGTGTCATCAATATTATACAGATTGTTCAGTAAGTCAGGAAACGGGTTTCTATTGTCCTCATTGTTTGTAACAATGAGAACAATAGAAACCTGTTTCCTGACTTACTGAACACTCTGTATATAGAAATATAAACAAATTTTTACTGTGACACGGCCCCACCACTCGGGCCACCTTTATCAGCCGTCGCCCAACTATGAATGTTTTTGTTTGACTGACCAATACCCCGCGCCATACGCCACGGTGCAAAGTCCAGCAAGTGCCGTACGGCTGATGACGACCCGCCGCAAATGATACGTTGAAACTTCTTCCCGTTGTTAAAGTGACAACGGTGATGATGTACGTCATCGGCTCCTGATGTGGCGCACGACCAAACCGATCCGCATCCGTGTACCATCGCCATTAACGCTGCTAACTTTTCGACGTCCGAGGATCATGTCGGACACCACGTCGCCAAAGCCAGCGAAAGTGCCGCAATATTATGAAAAGATTATTATTAACTGTGTTTGTCTTATCGATTTGTTTTTTTTTTTTAAATAACCTGTTGTTGTTCAAAAATTTTATTGTTCTAAATAATATTTTAACCTTAAACATACAACCGAGCTATTTATGTAAAAAAATATAGTTCAAAAAACTAAAAAACACGTTTTCATAACATATGACATTAAAAATTTTAAATTAATTCTTAAAATAAGCTTAAAAAAATAATAAACAAAAAATACTAGTATTATTGTGAAAAAAAAGTGGGTGTTTTGAGCCATGTATTGCGTATATTGAGCGCCCGACTTTTCTGTGACCTTATAATAATCATAATTTTATTACGTTATTAACTGTTTGTGAAAAATTTGTAAATACTTTGTATTTAAACTTAAAACTTTGAATTTTTCTTATTTGCCGTTAAAAAGTAATTTTCAAAGGTAATTTAAAATGACTAGTTCACATAGCATAATCTTTAACTGTCAATTATATTTTGTATTGTACTACTAAGCAGTATTTTAGTTATTAAAAAAATATTTAGGATGTTACCTTGAAAAGCTAAACAAAAATTAACTACAAAATTTGATTGATTCAGCAAAATCTAAAAATATAACAATATCATTGTTGTTTGTTTAGTCATTGTTAAAATAAATGATCATTGAATTTAACAAATTTAATAATAATTGGTTTTTTATGATTTCGATATTCGCAGATACGCAGAATTTATTATCAATGGTAGTAAGGCACATTGTTGTTTATAAATTCACTAACTTTCTATACAGTAGGTATATATATTGATAGTCATAATTGATAATTAACACTCCATGACTGTGATAGCGACGTCATAAAAAAACAATTAGCTACCTGTATTTGTAATCTCTTGTGTATTATACATGTAAATTAATTAAAAAAATTGAATCTTTAAATTTTTATACCTAATAAACGCATAAAGTTATATTAAAATTGAATTGCCATTTACTATAAAATGAAAAAATTAAACATTTTATTATATTCAAAATATATGCTCCCATTTAAAAAAACAAAATTGACACCCTTACAAGGCGTAAGGGATAAACATTAAAAATTATTACATAGCTGGTAATTCAAGAATAATGTGTAGCTAAAGATAATAATAAAAAATGTTTAAATTATATTTATTCTGTAAGTTATTGGGTTATGATAAAAAAAAATTACTCTGTATATTTGTCAAATTAATTTTTCAAAATTTTTTATTTGTCAAAAATCTTACCATTTTGTATTAAAAATTTTCTCCGCTAATGAAGAATTAACTAATTATACTTGTATGTTACAAATATTAACACTTTAATTTAATTGACAGATATTCTAAGTAATTTAGTATATTTATATATGTTTACTAAATATTAGTGCTTAAAAATTAAATATATCTGTTCAAAATTTATAAGTTAAATAAATTTGTACAAATAATATTAATTATGTTTGGGCGTATCGCCATGTGTACAAATAAGAAATGGTATTATGCGTGTATAAAAATATGTATACATTATTTGTAATAAACGTCACCTTTTATAAAAATAATACACAGAAAAATGCATGAAAAAGGTAACGCCAATGTACAATGTGCAGACTAAGTTCAGAACACAAATACCTTGTGTACATATCATTTTATAGAATTAATATATAATTTCAGATAATGATTCGTTAGTGCAATACAATGTTATATATAATTTAATTATTATTTTCATGGAAATCTACATATATAATATGTATGATAATTTTTCAACAGAAATTAATCATAATGAGAGGTATATATATAATAACAAGTGCTAATATACATTTATTATATACGTAGGGTAATNTATATATAATAACAAGTGCTAATATACATTTATTATATACGTAGGGTAATATTCTACCACAAATGGCATTATATTTCAAAAAGTAATTCTGAAAACTTAAAAAAACTATGAAATCTCAAAATGATTCAAAGTATTACAAAAGGGATTTATGAAAAAACAGACGTGTTGGATAAAAAAGAATCTAAAAATCATTAATAATAATAATTAAAATTTGATTATTTTTTTTTCAAGAAGTAAATATAACCATACTAGTACAAAGCCATCGTTTTCGCTACAACCTACGATTGCTATCGTTGTGGTAGCTTTCGTCCGACTCTGACCATTTATTTCCATTTACTCAATTCGTAATACATATTAATTAATATAGAGGGAGATGTTGTAAGCTAAGTAAATGTATGTGTCATTGTAGAAAAACCAAAAGTAATTTTCCATATTAGGCTCACGTAACTGTGTAACATACACTGACACTCGTGTAAAGTTTACAAGCCACGCTCATTTTTACTCATATTTGAATGCTATGTAGCAAAATAAAAAAAAAACCCCCAGCACAGTGGGGTCGCGGCATAGTAGGGACGTTGCATAGTTCGGTCCAGTATAGATTTAATGTGACAGTGATTAAAATCACTATCATTAGAAACGCTTCTATGCAAATCTGTAGATAGTGTTTAACTTTAAAAAATTGAAGGATTATTCCAAAAGCTACATGATCTGCTATTTTCTTATTAATATCCTGAATGAAAAAGGGATTATTAAAAAATATTATTTCTCATGAAAAAATTGTATTGATCCATATATTTTTTAAAAAGTTAAAAAAATCATTTTTAAGTAAAAAATGTAAAATATAAAATCGAGAAATTTCACACAAAAATAACATTTGGTAGTTATTTTGACCACGAAGACAAGTCCAGAGGTCAAATTTTCTTTGTATATAATAAAGTCCATTACATTAGCTTTAATTTAAGATAAAAGTAAAAGTGTCAGACCTTCTGGAATATTTTCAAAAGTTAAGTTGAAAACGTTAATTTTTTGTGAAAAAGTTGTAATTTAAAATCGCCCCCTGTGGGCACGTTAAGTGTCAGATTTACAACAAATATATACCAAATGATAGATAAAGACATCAAGCATCTATAAAAAAAAGAATTATATTGATCCATACATCTTTCAAAAAGTTATAGCATTATAAAGTTAAAAATATAAAAAAGAATTTTTTTAAAAAATCGTATTTTTTTATTATGTTTGATGTCTGTTAACACCATGAAGATAAAATAAAGTCCAAAATTTTTTTTTTTCACAATAAAGTATATTACATTAGCTTTAATTTAAGATATATATAAAAGTGTCAGACCTTCCGGAACACTTTCAAAAGTTAAGTTGAAAAAATTAATTTTTTGTAAAAAAGTTGTCATTTTTAATCCCCCCCTGTAGGCAGGTAAAAAGTCAGATTTATAAAAAAAATATACCAAATGATAGGTAAAGACATCATGCATCTATAAAAAAAAGAATTATATTGATCCATACATCTTTCAAAAAGTTATAGCATTATAAAGTTAAAAATATAAAAAAGAATTTTTTACAAAAATCGTATTTTTTTATTATGTTTGATGTCTGTTAACACCATGAAGATAAAATAAAGTCCAAAATTTTTTTTTTTCACAATAAAGTATATTACATTAGCTTTAATTTAAGATATATATAAAAGTGTCAGACCTTCCGGAACACTTTCAAAAGTTAAGTTGAAAAAATTAATTTTTTGTAAAAAAGTTGTCATTTTTAATCCCCCCCTGTAGGCAGGTAAAAAGTGAGATTTATAAAAAAATATACCAAATGATAGGTAAATACATCATGCATCTAAAAAAAAAAAGAATTATATTGATCCATACATCTTTCAAAAAGTTATAGCATTATAGAGTTAAAAATATAAAAAATAATTTTTTTACAGAAATCGTATTTTTTTTATTATGTTTAATGTCTTTTTTCACCATGAAGATAAAATAAAGTCCGAAATTTTTTTTTACCATAATAAAGTATATTACATTAACTTTTATTTAAGATATATATAAATGTGTCAGACTTTTCGGAACACTTTCAAAAGTTAAGTTGAAAAAGTTCTAGTTTCTACATGCAGTTTTTAGATTTGAACCCCCCTCAAATAAAGGGAAATGGTCCGATTTAAAAAAAAAGTATGTCGAATGAAAGATGTATATAAATACTACTTCTCATGAAAAAATTGTATTGATCTATACATTTTTCAAATAGTTATAGCATAATAAAATTGAAATTTTTTCAATTTTTAAGGGTAATGTCTTTGACTTGATACGATTTGTGATCTTTTGACGTATCGTTGAAAGAAATTCGTTCGGTGAGAGCTGAGAAAAAGTGGTAACAGACACAAAAAATAAAAAATAAAAAATAAATATAAACACATCTTAGTAAAACCAATACCTTCTCAGCTTCGCATCGAAGCTAAAATTAATAAATTACAAAGTAAAATTATTTACTTTTGTAGTTGAATACTTTTATCATATCAAATCTAATTCGACAATAAATACTTTAAAAACATTAGAAATCAATGATTTTAATTGTTTGTATAGAAAAAGCTGATTAAGCTACTTTTTATTTGAATAAGGAATATTTTTTCGATTTTTAAGAGTAATAACTTAAACTATATACGAATTGTATTCATTTGACGTATCGTTGAAAAAAGTAGGTGATCTATTAAATTAAATTTTATTCTAACTCAAAAAAAATGCAAAATATTAATTGCTACAGACGGAATTGAACGTCGTATCCTAAGCGATATAGACACAGGTGTTACAGATTTGGCAACTGTTCATTACTAACGGATCACTATAAAATTGGCTATTTAAGCTAACTCAAATTAAAAAATTACTTTTTCGACTTTAAAAAAGTAAAAAAAATTTAATAAGTTTAATTTTTTATGTCTTATGAACTGTATTCTATATCAATTAAACTATATAATATTCATGAAAGTCAGTGTATTGCCCTTGTAAAATATTTTAAAATAAAATAAAATTCAAAACCCAGGATTTTAACACATAAATAGCATATTTTTGAATACGGTAACCATTTGCGCGTAGAAGTTATGTTGTCAGGACAAATTTTTTTTTTTTAATTGTATAGTACATGACATAAGCTTTAATTTGACATTTGTTTAAAGGACGCAGTATTTCCGGAACATTTTCAAAAATTAAGTTGAAAAAGTTAGTTTTCGTAAAAAATTTGCTATTTTAAATTGTTCAATTTTTAAGGGTAATGTCTTCAACTAGATACGATTTTTGATCTTTTTTGAGAAAAAATTATATGTTGACTTATGATCAGAATGTTAAACAATGAACCCAGTCCATTTAAATTCACTAAAAAATCGACATACCACCTTTTGTATTATTATTATTAGAATTTAATAAAATTACTCCTTAGTATATTGAAACTAATTAGTAAAAAGGTAATTAAAAAATAATTATTATTTTAGAATTATAAATATATAGAAAAAATGTCAAATACGTCGTCTTGCCCAACACCTAGAACAAGATCATTTTATTAATGGAGCAAGTTGAAAAATCTTAGCATTATATAAATTGCTTAAATAAATTACAATATTGTATTCTTCCATATGTAGAGAGTTATCTGCTGCCTCTTTTAGAAATTTTGGGTGTATCATAAAATTTTTAATTGTTTTACGGAGTAATAAAAAAAATGGAGAGTTGAAATATTTGAAATGAGAAATTTATCTTATAAACCCCTAAGTTATGCTTCTAGATAATTTATTCGGTGTATTTTTTAGTGATTAAGCTCGTTCAATTAATTATAAGCATTAATTTTATACATAGGAATTTTAGTTAATTCAAATAACATTAAAAAACAAAAATAAATTGGGTAAAACCATTCACGTTTAGTTTAAAACCCCCACTAGTTGCTCCCTAATTTGGATAAGACTTAAAATGTCATATACATTTTATTCATGATGTTTCTTTTAAGCTATTTTAATTTAAAAAAAAATGTATTTATTTAATCACACTTAAATTAAAAAACTTATCATAAATTAACAACATAATATCGTTTTTACAAAAATGGAATAAGTTCGATTTAAAACATATACGTTCATTAATATTCTTATCAATGAATTTGTAATTGTTTAATAAAAATATTAATAAATAATTCCGTAAATTTTCGCAAATATTACTAGTTATATTTAAATCCAATGTGATTGTCTTGCCCTAAGCGTCATCTTGCCCCGCTTTCTTTTACTAAAAGGAATCAAACACAGTAAAAAATCGTGTCTACAATTTCTTTTTGATAGAAAAAAAATGGTAGTCAGTCTTGTATCTTACATAAAATTATATCTTATAAAACGTACTTAATATTCAAAAATAAAAAAACACTTGTCTTCTATGTAAAATCGCATATAAAAGTAAAAATACCCAGTATAGGTGAACGCATAGATGGAAAAATATTACATGATATGTAACATTCATTAGCCATTTAAGACCAGTTAATTAGATAAATTTGTGTGATTTTATATAAGTTAAATTTAATGAAATACTTCACTAATAAAATTGTATATAATCCAATTACAGAAAAAAATAATCAAATAAGAGAAACAAAAATATTTAATAATCATGACGTGGATATATTATAAATTAAAACTACCCAAAAAACTTATTTTTAAAGCAATATGAGGTGTGATCAAAAAATAACCGGATTGTGTTAATAATATTTATATCAATTAAGATAATAAAATCCCGGTAATTTCATTCAATAAAGTAACTTCTAACGAGAATTTGAGTATTGGTTTGAAATCGATAATAATATTTATTTTTATTTTATGGCATCTTTACGAAAACATGTTTCAGTCATGCGTCGATTTTCGAAATGGAAACAATAGAAGAAAAACGCGTGTACGTAAAATTTTGTTTTAAATTAAGGAAAAGTTCTAGTGGAACTTTTGAACTTTTGAAGCAAGCTTTTGGAGATGATGTTCTGTCTCGGACAACATTTTTTGAGTGGTTTAATCGGTTTAAGGAAGGTAGGACATCCATTGAGGATAACGAACGATCTGTTAGACCCTCGACCAGTAAAACAAATGAAATTGTTGCTCTTAATCGTGAAATTATTCGAAATAATCGACGATTAACTATCAGAGAAGTTGCAGAAGACGTCGGAATATCTCATGGTTCTTGCCAAGAAGTATTAACCAAAAAATTGGGCATGAGCCGAATCGCAGCCAAATTTGTTCCTCGTCTCATTGACACGGTAATAAAAGGTTAATGATAAATTAAATGTAACGCCGTTATGATTTGAATGTGGAGTCAATTTATTTTATTTTAAATTATAATAATATTAATGACGGGTGAACCGAAAAGTGCGGAACAAACAAAATAAGGCGCTGGTAAATAACACGGCACGTGCGGCGGATGTAAGTCACAGATGAACTGGTTTACATAGTCGCCGACGTGTCTCGCGGTACTGCACCCCCTGACCTGTCCTATCTACCGACCGCCGGACAAGACAAACTAGTGTTATCGTCAACACTGATGAGTGCGACGGTAATAATCACGACCGGATAACGTGCTAATTAACTGTAAATAAATAGTACGCTATTACGGGCCGTATAAACATTATCATCAGCCGTTTCAATTAGCCGATAAGTATAATGCTTGTTCATCTTCTTTTAAAGACTTACTCACATTTATAATTTATTATTTTTTTATAAGAGCGCCATTGTGGCATTAGTATTAAGTGCCCCCTATACATTGGTGTATATAAGATTTTATGATTCGTGTATAATACATTTAATTGTTTTATGTTTTAAAAATTCATTCTGCATTCATTTATATAGTGCTTGTTCGGTCGTGACGAAACAGTTTGGTGGGTGAGCGCCGGTTTTTTATTCTCTTCAACAAGAGCGCGACCTGTCACAACTGGTTTACTTGTTAGGGTAGTGTGTGGCGGTGGTCGCGAAGGGTCATTCGCGTATCGGCATGCATAGAGTGGTTTTGTGTATCACGGACTCTAGTGCGTTATTTTGTTGGTTTTGTTTTCTTTGACGGTTTTATGTGTTCAATTCACTCTGTTGATTGCGTCGGGCTCAACTGCTTTACTTGACACATTCACTATCTTCTTTTGGGTACAGAAAGCAAGGTCAGACTATACATTTTCTGTTTGTCAAAATATTAATTACTAAAAATTTATGTTGTTGTATTTTAGTATATTAGTTTTTAAATATAAGTACTAACAATAGATTTAAGATAAACCAATTTTGTTACTGTATTAGAGAGTACATATTTAATTTCGGTAAATAAATTACAGTTCATTAAAAACGTTATTCTTTTAATTTTATTTTAAGGAACCTTTAGAGACGTGATTTCACTCGGCGATTGGTCGTCCGAGTATTTCGCGTCGCACAGTGCTCTCACCTTAATCCTTTTCCTCGTCATAGCCTGACTTAAGACAAAATAAAACAATGAACGTTAACGAACCCGCGTGAATATCACGGGGCGCTGCGTTCATTCAAATAATAAATTTATACATTTCATAAAAAGCTTCTTTTCTTGTACTAGTTAATAAAAATAGTTTTATACTCTATAGTATAAAGTTAATTATATTGAAATTGTATTACAATTTCCAAAATTATCCTTAAATATAACTCATCATATCAAATTTTGATATTAATCATTTATTTTAAACGTAAATAATATCAGTAGAAGATTAAAATATTTTATGTCCAAACTGTAATAATTATTAAAGTTTAGACATAAATATTTAAGATACTTATGAAAACATGACAAGGTTTTTAAGTTGTTTAGGTTAACTTTGTTTATATTTTTTATAAAAATAATTAAGTTAAATGCGGACAAAAACCCGAACGAGCGAAATACCGCATCTGAAAATAAAAGGAAAGGCAAATAAGATAAAATATAATAAGACAAAAAAGCTCACCTATCACCATAGGAGAGATCGCGTGAAGCGCTTTTTACTTACATACGTGCGTGTACTAGATTCTTCTTGTTCTAAATGGTTCTTGTATAAGGTCATCCCTGATCTATATGGTTATGTGACAATTGTCACGAGGTTTTGGTGTACATCTACTATCAACAACTCAACGGACATCAACTTTAATATTTATTAATTTTCTATTTCTTTTTGTTATCTTAAATTGCTTTTAATTTACACAATTTAATTTCTTTTTAAAATCCTACTGTAGTCCGACAATACATTGTCTCGTTTAGTGGGTTGGCAACCCTTTCAATGCGTCATGAAAGTTACAAATTTTTCGTTGCGGCCAATTAGTTTGATTTTTTTTATATTTGTAACCTTTCAATATATATGGGTGTGAATATATAATTTTTAATTAAATAAATTACCCTTTTAAAAATAAAAAATAGGGTTGTCCAACATTTTTTAAAAAATACACTGATAAGATAACAATTTTTTATTGAAATATTTTCATAAATTTGATGATTATTACATGTGTGAATGATACAATTTATAATATATAATAATTATGCAATACTCCATTATTATTATAACATACATAGTATTCAAATGAAATCTTTTAGATTTCCTTCTTGTTACTCCATGTTCTTCATTTTACAAATATTTGCGCATTAAATTTTTGATACGTATTAAATACGACGGATTTAATAAATTACTCATGTGTGGTTCTAAAAAAAATTATATGTAATTATTAAATTGTAAATTATTCAAGAGACCTATTAAATAATTAAACAGAGTTCATATTAAGAGAACAAAACAGTTATAAACATTTTCAGTTTTTATGACAATTTCATAAGAAATTTTACGTGGTGTCCCGATATTTCATAAAAAAATAATAAAATTAAAAATATTTTTTTATGCTATACTAATAAAAAATGTTGGTCGATGAATACGAATTTTAGGGAAAATAATTTTAATATTGTAATATATTTAAGAGAATATGTACATTTGCTGTATGATTATAATAAAATATATAACGTGACTTATGTAATATAACCTTTAAATTATAAAACATACTACAATTTTTTCTTTTCAAAAAATAATAGCATTTATAGATTTTCAAAAACAATTTTCATTCTAAGACTATTTATACCATCATGACATTGTGTCAACTTCTATTTTTTAAATGAATCAGAAGTACCTATCATATATGTTTTTTATTAACAAAGTTCATGCAATATTAAGAAGAAAATTATAAATCCTAAGACACTATAAAATTGTGAAAAAAAAAAGTTACATATTTTTAAGTATTGCGTAAATTATAGTTAAACAATCACGTAGTATTTTATAGTAAGTACAGACCATCGGTGCGGAAGAATTCAATATTTTCGCTGCACATTGGGCACTTGGGTTGGTAATTATTATTACTTATATATTTAGCACAGTTCATACCAATTTTGTGAAGGCAAGGTTCTAAGACTACGTGTCTAAGTTCTTTTTTGCATGAACATCTTTCTATTAACTCTAAATGATACATTAAATTAATATATAACAAATTATTGTTAAACAATGCGTTCAGTATGCGTTTAATGAGATCAATAAAATCCCGTTTCTTTACTTACTGAACACCATATATGTCTATAATAAGGAAGTTCCCCAAAAAAATTGGTGCTTTTAACTAAATTTTGTATTTTAAATATTAATAAAATAATAGCATAAATATTTAAAAAATTGAATCTTAAGTCTATAATGAAGGATGAAGAATTAAAAAGATACCAATAATTTTGTTTCTTTTTTTCAAGAACAAGGGTTTTTCAGTATTTAATAATATTTGTTAAAATTAGACTAATGCTTGTCATTCTAATTTATATGAAATTCAAAATTATTTTTGTAAGGATAAATTACAAATTGTTAAATAATTACCTATATTATTAAAATATACTATGTTTTCTCTGCATAATGGACATTCAGTAATATTCAGTACGGTTAGCTCATTAGCACAATCATTGCATATTTTATGATAACAAGGTTTTAATGTTACTGTCAATGATCTTTTTATGAGACAAATACAGCATACTTTTTCACTGTCTAATGTAAAAAATTTAAATAATTAAAATTTTTAATTAATTATCACAATACAAAACAAATCACAAAGGTAAAATGAAGATGGATTGAGTATACGAATATGATTATAATGATGATGAGGTTGAGTATGCGTAGATACTTACGCATGTGTGATCGTACAGCAGTTCTGTATGCTCTGCTAACACTCCACAGTAACTATGGGTATCGAAAAGCTGTAGTTATAGGAAGGAAACAACTAGGTATTAGCGGACAATAACTTTTTATTAGTACAATAAAAACTTTATGAAGCAAATAAATATTTAGTTTCAGTAACAAATATATGACTGATTTAACAATAAAAATATTATCGACCTAATTTTTTATCAATGCAAATATTAGACATACCAAGTAAGAAATATATCAAAGTACGAGGTTCAGATAAAGTGCATGAAACAAGTACTCAGATATGTAGAAGACGAAATTAGGTAAGATAAAAAGGAATGAACAAACTCTTTACTTGTTACAGAAAGCCAGACAACGACAACCAAGTACTGAGACTAATGAATGGCATTAAGCATAACACTACTTACTGAAGTCGACTGACCACGATGGTCAATTTCTATGGTTTTAAATACTGTTAAAATATTCGATAATTTTATTTTCAATTCATCAGTCGCTAATAGCGGATGTGCGGTCTGTGTTTTATTTTATAGTATTTTACAATAATGGTAACATGAAACCATAGCTAAATAACAAGAATTGATTATTTGTGGCTAATATTATTTAAAATTAAAAATATATTTTAATTATTATTTAAAAAATAATAAATATTAAAAATGTTTAAGTTGAAAAGTACCCACAAAATAACTAAAAAATTGCATATTTTTGGAACAATGTCAAATTAAGTAATAAGAGCCAAATAAATAATTTAAAAAAAATTCCGGTAATTTTATTTATAAAAATGGAGGAAAATGTAGTTGAACGTTACACAGGCATTGTTTCCCGATACTAAAACAGAAATGCTTAAAAACCAATCCTAACACAAGTTTATTACCAAAAAAATTGCTTATAAAAGATCTGTGGGTAGATATTGAAATAGAGGTTCAACGTGTTAATTATAATAAACAAGACTTAGCAAGAAGGTAGTGTCAATTTTATGCGCCGATTTACAATTTTTATAACACATAGTAAGTGTTTTTTCATCTATTAAAAAATTCGATAGCTTTTCAGTTAAAACTAATATTGACTTAGTACAAAAATTAACTGGTTACTATTCAAATTAATAATAGGTTATTTAACGTAGTAGACTAATTTCCGAGTATTCTGATAAACATAACAATTAGTCTCCTTAAAAATTGGGTAAAGAAACAAATTATAGAACAGGATAAAATAAATGAGTTTGAAAATTAAAAAAATTAATTTGATGCGCAAATTAAGGACATAGAAATGGCAAATTTGTTATTACCATTTTTCATGACTAGGTTTAAAGATAAATTTAAAAATCACTTATGGCAGTTTCTGAAAATTAGAGTAAATTATATGTAGATGATATGTCCTCTCACCTAACGCTAATGAGTAGGGTAGAGATGTGGCTAAATGAAGTGTTAAATTGTAATTATGTTAATCATATTTATAAGAACAATGCTATTATTACCTAAGAATTTTATAATCGGTTTATAGACGTTTAGGTAAGCATATTTTTAACATCAAGGGTATCATGACATTGCATAAGCGTCTAAAGTTTATGAGAACAGTTGTGACGCTGTCTGAATATTATTAAAATCAAATATACGTCTATTATTTTCTAAGAATATTATCATCGGTTACCAGACGCTTAGATAAGAATATTACCATCATCAATGATTTTACCGTACAGTAGCGATCATTGTCGTATGCATTCTATGAGAACAATGACACCACCATGGTGTTTCATGCCAACGCATTTATTATTTACCATATAACCGGTTCAACAATCTGTATTATGTCACATCATGCTCAACTCTTGGTGAGTATAGCAACCTGTACCTAAAGTTAGACTTGCTGTTGTTGAGCTGATTTTCAGTCTCAATTATCTTAGCAAACTTGTGAACCAACCGACCTTCAAAGATTAAATAAAAATGGTGAAAGGTTGTGCGCTGTCGTAATGGATACAAATATTGTTAAATTTGTAAAATCTATTTATGTCGGTTTAGCAATACTTTACATTAGTAAGACGTTAATACACAAGTATTACTACGATGAATTTAAACCACATTATAGGACACAATCGAATTGATTTACATCGATACTGGTGATATTTATTTACTTATTTTATTTCAAACTTCTTCAAATGCCTACTCCGTATCAAAAATTATTATCAGAATTTAGCTGGTAGCCCTAATTTACTGGTGCATGTAGACGCATCCAGCCTGTCAAATGATCACGCCTACTATTCCATCGCCAGAAAGAAGATAAAAGTGTTTTAAAACATAAAAGTACACAAACGCGTAAAAGTTTTAATCAAACTATAAGATCACTAGGATCGTTACAATACGTGTATAACTTAAGACTTTTGTTTAAAATTTTGTAGATTAACACATCTCTGTCTGTTTTCGGAGGAAACAAGATACTAATGACATATTTATATTTATAACCTGAATTGGTTTTCAGTTTTCCACTTTGACCTAAACGTGCATCAGTGTAAAGTAGTAAACTTTTATAATCCTATAAATCGATTATATTGAATGTTCCAATTACAGGTTTACTTTTAAATAAAAGTTAATAAATGCCATAACTTAGTGATCGTGGTACTAATATTTCAACATAAATAGATGAAAAATCGTAAATTATTTTAACCCTAGTATTGCCTATAATAAAATCATTACCTTTGATGTACTTTAGACCTTAAACCGCGTCTATTTCTAACAATCATTTAAAAAAATCTTCTTGCTGCATGCTGTTGAAAAACGAACGTTTAGGCTTATCAGCATTTGCCGTTTTTAATTTTTCATCTTCCTGAGATGTAGAAAATACATTTTTTAATCAAATTTAGACTTTATTTCTTCATTTTTCTGGGATGCAGAGGGTTTGCTAGAGCCATGCATCATATTATTTTCTTCAGATGTAAAGAATATTATTAGATCATTTTTTACTCTAAAACAGGCTTTCTCCAAGTGCCGAAACAATGGCTTTCTGTACTATTGCTTTTCTTTCACTTCAACTCTGATTTGATTGGCTACTTCACAAAGAGCGTCTACTATCAGTGACATGTATGTACGTACAAAATTTTTCGATTCCTCGACATTTCTATGAATTAACTGTATTTTATTTTTTGTTTCGTTTAGAGCACATATGTCATTTGGTTTTTGCAGTATAATCATATTAATGTTATCTCTTATCAGTTGTTTACGAATTCTAGAACATTTCTGTGATAGGTAAAAACTGATATTGTGTAACCCTCGACAAAAATAAGATGTTATATGAATTTATTTTTTATAAATTGGTCGGTATCTTGAAAATAACATAGATATATTTTCAAGTTCATAAGTGTCTGAAGGCAAAAGTAAAAGTTAGGCAGCCATGAGATGTTTAATATACGCAAAAATGAAGTAGAAGGCGGAGACAGAAAGGACGACCGGCCAAAAAAACACATTTAAACAAAAACGGCCAGACCACTTGACGGCGACGACACACATGGACCGGAAGGGGAAACAAACGCCGACATCAGTGCATGCCTCGTTGACAGACATCTGGGACCGGTTGAATTATTGATAGTACTGTAGTAGTCAGCTGGGCGTTTTGTTATTACAATGATAATTTGTTATGGACGATTGTACAACGGATAAAATATAAAAAAGGAATGTGCGACTGCATTATTTAGGAAGATTTAAATTATGTTATTCTAAATTGTAATGTTCAAAATTAGTTTTTATTCACCACGAAATTAATACTATCCAGATAATAACACCACATTACCAATTGCTGAGCAGTTACACTTAATTATATGATGTTCACAATAACTAATTTAATTAACTTATTTTGTTAAACAGTACTATTAAAGATAGGTCAATTTTTTACGTCATAAACGTAAAACTTTAACATTCTTTCTGCTTAGAAATACACAATAGACGATATTTTAGAAGTAATGGAAATACCTTACAATAATGAACTATTACAGTTAGTGCTCTATATATATATTCAACAGCAAGATGTTTACACCATCCCATCTGATATTTATCTTTTGATAGATAAAGAACTCTCAGGAGTTCCTGTCGACTAAGATGTACAATTGGTTAACAATTAGCTAGCTCAATGTTTAACCGAAATAAGATATTTATTGAACTCTATAAAAACAAATAAATCACATATATCTAGGATATCAATTTTTACAAGAGTTCTCTATACTGGAATTTTACTATCCTATGCTTCCTTTTAACTGGGGTTTAAAAAAAAAACAAAAAAAATTAATTTTTTACATTTCAAACCAAAGTAAGATCGTCAATCAATATAACTTATTTAAAATCTACATTTTTATAACATACGTACTTATTGTAATATTTATATTAGTGAAAAAAAAGATGACCCCATGCTTGTAAAAGTCATTATTTTTGTATATTTTTACTTAAAATGAAAGTAGTAGTTAAATTTAAATAATATCACATTATTTAAGTCCTTACCATTTTTCAAAGAATGGTCTTGAATTTTTTCACAATTTTTTACTGGACACTTCGTATGATCTTTATATTTATTTATACAATTTTTTCCAATATAATGGTGACAATGCTTCATGATTTTTACCCCAATTTCATTGTAGCAGTTTTGGCAAACATTATTTATTAATTCTAAAATTAATTTTACTCAAGTTTTATTAATATGAACAGTAAATAATAATTTTTCGCTATAAAATCAAATGCAACTCTATAAAAATATTCTTTACATTCATTCGAATATAATTGAGAAATTTATAATAAGAGAATGGATTTATATGAATTAATAAATTTTGTTATGATATTTTAAACTTATCATTATCCTATTCGAATTTGTATTAATAGGCTTGTAAACTTAGTAATGTTATCTAACTAAGTTTTATGATTTAGCCTATGAAACCTGTCAATAGGACCGATTGGAAAATTCCCGAGGTCATAGATTTAGCCGACCCATAGTTTGCTATACCTAGTAAAACTGACGTTTTGTTAGGCGCTGAAGTATTTTTTGAAACTTTAAAATTTAGACCCTTAGCAAATGTTTAGAGAAACAAAGTTTGATTGGATTGTTGATTGTTCTGTTCCCGTAATGAACGCGACACTATTTTACTCATTAAACGCTCAAAATAATTCTAGAAATGAGAGTTAAAATTACAAATCGAAAATATTTAAAGCCTGTATAGAAGATGTAGTTAATAAAATATCATTTATCGCGGAAGAAAACGAATGTCTTGAGATTTTAATATATTGGTAACTACAGATGCAAATGGGAAATTTGTGGTATGTTTACCTTTGCGAAAAAATTGGAAGCAATTAGGTGAGTCGTAAGCAATAGTATTCAAGCAATTTTTAGTAGCTAAAAATAAATGACTTAAAAACGAAAATATGAAATTAAATTACACATAATTTATGAATGAATATTTGCGACTGGGTCATATGGAACGAGTAACTGATAATGTAAGCACATTTATAAAACCTTATTACACACCTCACTATGCAATATTAAAAGAATTAGCGCGATGATAAGGTTATGCGTAATTTTTAATGCGCGTTGTGTTACTATTACAAGTCTGAGTTTGAACGACGTGCTGCTCAAAGATAATAAGGTGTAATACAAAATGATTTAATTTACATTCTTCCATGTTTTCAAACCCATTAGTATACATTGTCAGCAGACTGTGAAAAATGTATCAGCAAATATGGGTAAGTAAGGAGCACAAAGACTATAATGGATTTTGTGGTGGTCACACCTAGATAATGATGCTGCTAAAAGTAACATTGCTATGACAACAAAAAAAGATCGTCCAAAGTGTCTTCGACCGCTTTAATTTTTGATCCTCTCGGATTTATTAGGCCAATAATTATTAAAGCGAGATAATTAATACAACGACAATAGCAACTAATATATTGTTGGGATGACCTGTTGCCAAGTGAATTAAACGAGGAATAGCTGAATTATAAGAACTATAACAGCAGATTGAAAAAATGAAAATACCACAGTGTATCATTGAACACAATCATGTACAGTCTATTCATATTCTCAAATTTGCTGACAAATCTATTCACGCTTATGGCTGATGGTATATATAAAAACGAATAGCAGTAATGAAATTTTGTGTACTTGACTAATCGCAACGAACTCAGTAGTATCTCCACTAAAATAAATCACTTTGACTAGATTAAAATTGTGTGCGACAATTTTATTACGCCAGTTAAAAGAAAAAATATTGCATAAATTGAATTTAAATATGAATAAGCGTTATTTATGGTTAAACTCGACCATAACGTTAGCTTGGTTAAAATCGTCATCCAAGAGTTTAAAAACATTTGTTAAAAATCATTACTAAAATAAAATTCAAACTCCAAGCACTATTTTATCATAGTAATTAACTATGTCCCATACGAAACACATTGTATTTTATTTATTAGATATTATTGACGCTACTCAAGTTTTGCAAAAAAAAAAATATATATATATATATTAATAAAATGATTAATTAATATTGTTTCCATACTTATTTTAAAAAAGTATGGAATTGAAAAGTAACATTGTGGACATCTTTTCGATTTTGAGCATATTTGTTCATAAGCACAAGAATTACCAATTTTATGAAAACATGGAATTATTGTTACTGATGATGCTTCTTCTTTGCAAGAATAACATAAACCGTTATCATCTGTAATGGAAAAAATAATCTGTTAATAATATAATTGAAAAGTTGTATTAAAGAATATTACAGGGTGATTTATTAAACAAATTACCCTCCATTTTTTATTAATGATTGTGTTTTATAAAAATGTTGTAAGCTAAACTTATAAAACCAGCCTAACTTTAACAAAAACCCCAAGGAGGATCCATCTTGGCCCGAGGCAAGTCAAAGCCAAAACTAGAGCACCATAGATTTTGTTCCTTTTATTAAATTTTATAAATTAATTATCTTATAAAAATATAAGATACAAAATAAAATATAAAATGGTCATTGAAACTGAATTATCCAAAATGATAAAATTCACAGAATCTAAAATAATTGGGGTAAGATATATATATTTATAATAAAAACACTACAATAAAATATTAAAGTAAAAAAATAACAAAATTAGAAATTAAGTTATAGTCAAAGATTTAGTTTGCCGACGATACGGCTTTTCTTTCTACTCGTAGTAATATTTCTCAAGCAGCCCACCACCTTCAAACGAATGTAAACATTATGGAATCATGTTTCAAGAACTGGAAAATAAAAATTAATGAAAATAAATCAAGTCATGTAACATTCGCCCTCCGTTCTGAAAAATGTCCAGCTATAACATTTAACAACATATTAATTAATAACCAAAACGAAACCAAATACCTAGGAATAATATTGGACAAAAAATTAACTTGCGGACCTAATCTTAAAGACAAAAGGGATTATTAAAAAATATTATTTCTCATGAAAAAATTGTATTGATCCATACATTTTCTAAAAAGTTATAGCATTTTAAAGTAAAAAATGTAAATTATAAAATCGAGAAGTTTCACACAAAAATAGCATTCGGTTGCCATTTTCACCATGAAGACAAGTCCAGAGGTCAAATTTTTTTTTTCAAATTAAAGTATATTACATTAGCTTTAATTTAAGATATATATAAAAGTGTCAGACCTTCCGGAACATTTTCAAAAGTTAAGTTGAATAAGTAAATTTTTTGTGAAAAAGTTGTCATATTAAATGCCCCCCTGTGAGCAGGTTAAATGTCAGATTTACAAAAAAAATATATCAAATGATAGGGTAAAGACATCAAGCATTTATAAAAAAAAAATTATATTGATATGTTCATTTTTGAAACAGTTACGGCAGTTTTTAGTAAAAAAAATTTTTAAATTTGTAATTTTTTTAGAGGTTTCCTCCATTTACGGGGAACGAGGGAAATTTTTTCAATTTTTGAGAGTAATGTCTTCGACTAGATACGATTTGTGATCTTTTGACGTATCGTTGAAAGAAATTTGTTCGATGAGAGCTGAGAAAAAGTGGTAATAGACACAAAAAAAAAAAAAAAGCATCGAAGCTAAAATTGAAACTTTGAATGTTTATATCTAATAAACGAATGAAGTTGTATTAAAAATTCAAATGCCAATTACTATTTATATAACTATTGATAACTAAAAAAAAAAAAAATTATATTTATTCTTTAAGTAAATAAGTGGGTTATGATAAAAAAATCACTCTGTATAATATTCCAATGTTTTAATAACATGTTGCTATATAATTAATTTTAAAAAAAATGACTTTTAGTATCACCTGAATTTAATAATAGATTTTTACTATTGTAATTCAATTTTATAATACACTCAACTGAGTAAATTTTTTTAACAACATTTTCATTGGTTTTTTTAGTTAAAGTAAATTATTAAAATTAATTAAGTTCTAAATATATAAATTGTGAATCTTTTTAAACACTATTCTATTATGATAAAAATGCAAAAAAAATATTAAGCTTTTTTGATAAATTTACTAAAAATAGTTATTATAAAATTTCCTGACTGCATATTAATCTTTTTTTTTTTTTACGCTTTTATTAACCCATAAAGGGCCATAGCGGCCTTCCCCGAAGGAGGAGGTTTCCTAACCTTTTTATTCTCCGGGATGGGTGGTTAGTCCGCCGCCGTAGGCATATTAATCTTAACAACACAATTTTTTAATTCTCATAAATTTTTCTATTTAATGATGACAATTTCAAAATTGCAAGTTAAACTAATTTTAAGGTATTTTAAGGATAAGGGTGGCCAATCCCAAGTATTTGAAATTAAGGAAAGAAAAAAGAGGAAGAAGACTGTTAAAATCTATCATTTTGAATTCATTTTTCTAATAATTTACTTTTCATTAAATGGTTTATAAAAAAATTGAAGTATGCTTAATAAATCACTGTGTAGATTCTAAAATTAAGAGCAATACACACTAATATTTTCGTAATTTTTTATATATCCTCTGCATGATGGAACTAGACATACTTGTTCATTTTTATAATGAGCATTAAAAGCACATGTTGCACACAATCGGTGTAAACAAGGGTTTAAAAATACTACCGGCTTTGATTCGTAACAAACTTCACATTTTTCATCATAAACTATAACAAAATATTTTATATAATTACTATTTTTATTATTTATAATAAGGTTAACTAATAGCAAATATATTTATAATGCCAATTTTGAAATTAGACAACATAAAACATGCTAATCCAAAAACGATTAATTAATGAAATTCGATACATTAAAACTAGACTTAGAATTTAAGTATATTCCATGTAAGTATATTTGTCAGCTGTATATAATTGTGTGTACGTCCTTATTATTATTCATAAATGGTTATTTTTAAAATTATTAACATCTCATAAAATTAATTTTCTTTTTAGCTTGAATATGAAACTGAGAAGATGATTATTTTATGTGTTTATTTTAATAGATTTTTAATTTTGTTGCTACTTTTTCTCAGCTCACAATAAAATGAATTGTTTGGCAAACTTTAGCTTTCAGAGAAAAAACTAAAATTCAATATTTTTAAATAGAGACTTCTATTATTAACTTGATAATATAATAGAAAATTACATTTTCAAACAATGATGTTAATCATAGTATACATAGTGTTCAGTAAATGTGGAAACAGGTCAATTGTTGCACATAATGAGAACAAGAGAAATCCGTTTTCTTGCTTATTGAACGCTCTATATAATATTTCCTCCTAAGACCAGTATTATGTTGGACCCTGTGGAATTGCCCTTTACTTTAGGCATTACTTTAGGACAACTTTCAGATACATTGTATATGCTATGCTGTAACCCTAATTTGCTGAATGTTTTTAGCGATGGTAAATATTGACTGAAAATAAGTGAGATGAGTAGTTTATATTTATAATGTTTTTACCTTCACGAAATAGGGATGCTACACTTAAAACTGCTACGACTAAAAAAAATACATTCAATAAAAATGTGAAGTATGATAATTAATTTATGAAAGTTACTGCATAGGTCATCTGTGCAACAGCTCGTGTCGTGCTGCACAAAATCGAAAGTTCGACCCACTTTTGCTAGATTATTAGAGAAATACAAAGAGAGAAACCGTGGTACATGTTGATTATATAGTGTAAAGGATAATTTTAAATATTTAGGACACTGGTATTGACGAGGATGAATGATACAGGATTTTTTGAAACCATGCCACTACAACCATTCATGAGGTCTCGAGTATCAGAACAGGGGCAAGTACAAAAGGAAATAGACAATATTAATTAAATTTAATATTTAATTAAAAACAAAACCATCTTATTACAAACTACACAAAGAGAATTCATAATAGAGTTTTGAAGATCTAAAGGACTGTTATATTTTTTTAAATGAACTATATTATAGTTAAAAAATTAACTTTTCACGCAAAATTTGTTTATTTAAATTTTTTTTTTTTAATCGAAACGTTTTAACCGAAATAATTTTAAAATTACTAATTACATTACAGTGTGTTTTAGGGTGGTCTTTATTTATCATTTTTGAAAACTTGCACGGGCTACTCCCGGAATTTGTTCATAACTATAAAAAAAAAATTTGTGTCAAATTTCATTAATTTTGGTCAATCTTAAACCGTGCCTCAAAAGGGTTGAAAATTGAATCATGAGGGTAATTTTTAAATAATTGTAGTTTATCTCAAAAGATATGACTTTTATATCAAATTTTATAGTAAAATATTGTAGATATGAATATTTTACATAAAAAAAGTTATTACTAAAAAAATCATAAATCAAATGTTTACCTCGCAAAAGTTAAAAGTTTAACTAAATATATGTTTAAGAGTAAAAATCTGAAATTTTCACAATTTTAATATATAGGACGAATCGTTTGTGTTTAAAAAGAGTGCATGAGTAAAAGTTGTTTTAAATTAAATGTTTTATATTTTTTATTAAAAAAATCATAAATGTATTTGTTAATTTATAAGTATAAGTTAAACTTATACTTCAATAATAAGTTTCGTTCTAAAATAATTGTAAAAAGACAACAAATCTTTTTAATTCTTTTAAATAATTATAAATAATGCAATATAAAATGTACACATAATAAATGATTACTATATTATACAATAACCAAATTCAAATATAAATTATAGAAATATAAATAAAAAATGAATAAATAATAAATAATAATTTATCCCTTAGTGTAGCTTTTTTACTGTTAGGAAATTACTTTTATTATTGTATTATAACTTGTAATGTGTTCTGTTTTTGTTCCTCGTTTTTTGATTCTATCTTATTAAAATCCTTTATTAACTTTACTGCACGTTCTGCAATATCATCCACTTTTAAATGATTGATAATTTCTTGAACTTTAAAATAACTTAGATTTTCACCTCATATAGATGGGTTTGTTTCCATAAAACTATAATCAATATTAAATCGATCAAATAATTTAAAGTTTTACGTGTCACAAAATCTTCTATTTTTTTATTTTTTATAAAGTTTGATACTTCATTAAAGTCCAAATTTATGCGTTTATTTTTTATGACATAATTTTCTTCCCCATCGAAATTTTCAGTGTCAATTCTTTTAATATTAAATGCCATTTTAGTTTTTGTCTCGTGTGGAATATGTTTATCTAAAAATTCTAAAGCAATGTTGTCTCAACAAGTGTCGTTTAATTGATGACTTATTAACTATTATATCATTGACATCATGCCCTAATGATTCAGCCAACTGCAATTATAATGTGCACTGCGTCTCGGTCGCTTAATTTGCACCTAACTAATGCTGAAGATAACTTTACAGTCATTATGTCTATTGCACCTCTTTGTTTTATGGAGCTTGATATTGGCATTAATTTCATTAGACGTACCTGGTGAAAAATTAATATCTTCTAAATTTAATGTTTTATCTTTAGTATTTTTAACTAATCAAACAAATTACTGAAGTCATCATGGTTTACAACTATAAAACAATATAAATTAATATATTATGATCTATAAATCGTTATAGATAATTTATAGATCGTAATATTTTAATCTAACTCACAATCATCAGGCAAACTTTCTTCTGTGTCGTCGCTTGTAAAATAAAATTCCACAGTTTTAGCTAAATAAAAATAAAAATTGCATATGAATGAACAATGCTATACTATTCACTGTTTATTTGTAACTCAAAATACTTATTAGTTAATTTTAATTCATATTCATTAAGTTTCCTTTTTTTCTCAAATTCTTTTAGTTTTTTAAATTGCTTAAATTTTTTTTTTTTGGTAAGTTACATCAACGCCAATAAGTGATCCTGGACGATCCTTTTGTCTTTGACTTATTAAAAACTGCTTATCTATATCAATATTTATCATGCCTAATGCATCTGTATGAGCAATATCAAATAGCTCATAAAAAAATTGTACAAATTTATTTTCGTTGTCTATCTGAGTACGCCGACTTGAATTTTTTTGCAAATTACGCCATGTATTGTACAATTTCTCTAATTTTGATAAACAATTACGAACTTCTTTAGTAGGTATTCGAGCTTTTTGCCAGAATATCAATGTTTCATCGATCACTAAACGGGCACTATCACGAACACTCAAGTTAACTTCTCAAATATTAAAAAAAAATACCGATAAAACTTATTTATTTGATGGTAATTTACATCCAACTAGTTAATGTGAACTATTACCAATTAAATAAATACTTTTTCGTAAATTTCTTTTTGTTTCCATTTTTAAATAAGAAAGTAATAATTGAGTTTAAAAAATCACAAAATACACTGACTACAGATTATTTCGATAAAACCTCAATGTTAAACGTTAATGTTTATCATTGATGTAAGGATATGTACTAAAATGCTGTAGTTTATGATATCGCACGTAATCAACACAGTTAATAATAATAGGTATTTTTAAATAAGCTATGTCCAATCATTACTTAAACTGACCATGCTATTTCAATAATATTTATACCTTATAGAAATCAACAAACAAAAATAATATATTATTTTTTCATATAAACGTATGATACTATAATAAAAAACTCTAGAAATGAGTTTTTGTTATTTTGTGATCGAATGAGCCGTTTTATGAAAAAATACTAAAAATAAAATATAATTAAAAAAATATTTTATCATAAAATATATTTTCCTATCGTTAATACTTTAGGGTATAATCGCAAAAAACTACGCAAAAATAAATACGCCCATTTTCTTCATTTTGTTGAACTTTTAACTTTCGCGAGGTAAATACTTGATTTATGATTTTTTTAGTAATAACTTTTTTTATGTAAAATATTTATGTCTACAATTTTTTTCTTATAAACTTTTAAGTAAAAGTCATAACTTTTGTGATAAACTACAATTATTGGAAAACTACCCTCATGATTGATTTTTCAACCCTTCTGAGGCATGGTTTAGGTTGACTAAAATTAATGAAATTTGACTCAAATTATATTTTTATAGTTTTGAACAAATTCCGGGGGTAGCCCGATCAAATTTTGAAAAAAAAAATGCATTAAGAAATTTAATTCATCTACACATTAAGAACCACTCTAGTGTATATTATAATTATGCTTAATTTTTAATTATCAAAAATATATTATATAATGTACTACTAAGCAATATTTTAGTTGTTAAAAAATATTTATGATATTACCTTGAAAAGCTAAACAAAAACTAACAATAATTAATTGATTCAGTAAAATCTAAAAATTTAACAATAATATTATTTATTTTAAAATATAAGAAAGATTGCATTTACTGAATAAGAGGCCGAATTTGTTTTAATACAATTAGAATTTATTTTTTTAATTTATAGGTTATAAATTAAAAAAAATTGAATCCTTATATTTTTTGGCCAATATAACTTGATAAATTTATTTTTTAAATATTTTGTATTTGTCAAAAATCTTACCATTATTTAATTAAAATTTTATTCATAGATGAAGTAATAACTATTACTCTACAGTCTATTGAATACTAACAATTTAAATTTTATTTCGCAATTCCTAAGTAATTTATATTCTCACTTAAAATTAATGCTAAAAACATATTAATAAAATATAATTTATATTATATATGATTAAACATTTCTAGAAGATGGGGTAAGTCATAAAACATGCACAAATAAATATATTAAACATCCAGTCATCATAAATATAAAGCAATTATGGTAAGAATATATGTGTATAAAAAGTTTTATACTTTAAATGTAATAAACGTGACGTAAAATAAGAATAATTGACAGAAAAATGTATTAAAAGTACAAAAAATTATTTTGATCATTGGTGTCAATGGGTTTGATTTAATGAATAAATCACATTAAAATTTATAAGTATTTGTATTCGAAAGTGTCAAAAACATTGATTAGAAAAGTAAGGTAAATTCTTAATCTAAAATTAAAAGACCAAAGAAACCAAATATATAAATATAAATTTTATAGAGGTGCGTTATTGGAAGCAATAACATATTATATTGAATGATGTCATTAGAACCAATTCATTAAATTTCGATGTTTTTACTCCATCAAGGAAAATAAATGGAAATATCAAGATTAATTCTAGTCAATATCTAAACATTTTCCAAAATACTAAAATGGGATTTGTAGTAAAATAAACGTGATAGATAAAAAATAATCTCAAAATTATGTGGAACGTCAATAAAAATAATTACAATTTGATCATTTAGTTATCAAGAACTAAGTATGACCATACTATAGTATGTAATACGTGCCAATCCTAGTAAAAAGTCATTGTTTCGTTACAACCTATCTATCATTGTAGTACCATTCATGCGACCTTAGTATAAATCGTGTTGTAAGTTAAGTTAATGTATGTGTAATTATTTTGTTTAATTACATTTTCCCTTAATATATCAATAGTATCTAATTTTTTTATAAGTTCTAATGTATAATATTTTGCAATATTTACAATTACTACATAATATATTATGGAAAAAACACTTGAAAACAATGTCAATAAACGGTTGGTAAAATTTTTTGTTAATTTAATGCACTAAATAAATTTAAAATTTTAATATTATGTATGAGTAAATTATTTATTAATATTCTTAATTGAGTATTTATTAAAATTTCAAGTGTTTTCAACCCCGCCAGGAATTTTAAACATTACACTATTACTGTGAATGTAATAATGTACATACTTCAATTAATAATATACAGAGTGGACCACCACTCACTGACAACTTAAATAACTTTTGATCCAGTTAATATTTTTAGTTGATTTTTTTTTTAAATAATAGTTATACGTTAGGTCTATAGCTATATCTCAATAATTAATTTTTTTACATTTTATTAAAAATATTAATTATTTTTAAATTTTAAATAAAATGTAAAAAAAAAATCTAAGATAGCTATTTTGTAGAGTAGAATTTAAGAAAAATTTTAGTAAAAAAATATCTTATTAATATTCAGTAGTAAATATTCTGTAGCGTTTTGAAGTTTGTGAAATTTTGAATTTTCATGTACTATTTTACGGTATTAAACATTGAAATACGTATTGAGAAAAGGACAGAAGAAAACGCTATCTTTTCATGATTACTGTGTATACATATGATGATAATGTGTATACATTACAAACTTGGCATTAATACCATAATAAGAAATTAGGTAAGACAATTATTACTTATCACTCTCATTGAAAAGTATATTGAAAAGATAGCGTTTTCTTCTGTCCTTTTCTCAATACGTATTTCAATGTTTAATACCGTAAAATAGTACATGAAAATTCAAAATTTCACAAACTTCAAAACGCTACAGAAAATTTACTACTGAATATTAATAAGATATTTTTTTACTAAAATTTTTCTTAAATTCTACTCTACAAAGCGAGTTCTATCAATTGTTTTTGTAATCTTATATTATAATGAGGCAAAAATAGGCATTTTTAAGAAAAACTATATTTGTTCAGTTAGACTGAAAAAGAATATCCAATGAGTAAAGGAGTTAGGAAAAATATAAAAACATCACTAATAAAAATTTCAGATTTTAAATCCACTCGTAGAAGTTAAAAAAAATCATATCAATATTACCCTATCCTCTTATAAATTATTTTAAATATTTTATCATTTTTCCATTACAGAAGTTATTAGTATTACAATTATTTTCAAAAAAAAAGCAAAATTGATCCTATCCCTATTTTGTTTAACAAACTTAAAAATAAAAAATTAACTTATTAATATATTGACCAATCTTTTACAAATTTTGTTATGACTATCGTCGTGGAACGCAAATTAAATGACACAAGTTTTTAATTTTATTACAAAATGGCGTGAAGCCGTATATTGTTTCTTCCAAATATAGTCACAAAACAAGAACAAAATAAAATATACAATGTACTCAATACTTAATAACAAACCGACGGTAAAATCGTAGGTGCAACGAGTTGACAGGTGTAATTTCGATAGATCTGTATCGTATGAGGTCACGGAGATTACTTAACGTATATTTGCGGCGGGTCGTAGATGGACGTACGGCACTTGCTGGACTTTGTACCGTGGCGTATCGCACGCGGTGTTAGTCAGTCAAACTACCATATGCACGTAGTTGGGCGGCGGCTGATAAAGGTGTCACGGGTCGCGGGGCTCCGTGTATAGAGAACGACACGGGACCGTGTCAATTTTGAAACTGTATTTTGGAAATTTATTATCAATTTAATATAATGAATGAAGGTTAAGAGTGTGTTAACACATTTTTATTTCAAAGCATCCATAAACTCTTACCGGCTTGTCATAAAAATATTACCATCTCTTAAAATACCGGTTCAAAAGTTATTATCGACCAACCATTTTGTTATACAGATATTTTTTTTATTTTTAAGTTAATCAATTATTATGATTTGTTTCGTCGCTATTTAGGGATTGAGCCTAAATGCCCGTAAACAGTATTCTAAGGAGGATAGCTGGCTAGGCTATATCTACCTTAGGTACTGAGGTTTCCTATTTAATTTAAATTCCCTTAGAGGAACTACCAAGGGTCGCACTATAATGTATATATATATAACACTCTTGGTTAACAACGATATAAATATTCATTAAGTAAAGATATATTAAATCAATAGTACTGTTCGCGCCGAGTATGAGAGCTGCACTGATTAGGTGTAACAGGTGGTAGTGCTTGTGCGCTATCACCTGTTAAGACGCCTTATTAGCCTATTACCGTGTTGTTCGGTCGGTTTTTAACACGCTTATATTAGTTTCACTTGTATGTTGTAAGTTTGTAACTCCACGCGGTACGTGTTATTATGTCGCGTATCCCGTCGTGTATGACCTTGAGACTATACTGTTGTAACGCATTCGCCCCACCCCGCTCACCATTCGTAGAGAACAATATTTTCCAACCCGTAGACGCGCGATTATCATAAATTATATATATATATATATAACAAATTTTTATTGTAATTGACACAGCCCCGCGTCGTTTTACGCCGCGGTGCAAAGTCCAGCAAGTGCCGCACGGCCGACGACGTCCCGCCGCTATACCGTAGTCTTCTTCCCATTGTCAAAATAACATCGTCAACAAACTGATCCGCACTCGCGCACCGTCGTCATCTACGCTGCTAACCTATTGACGCCCGAGGATCACGCCGGACATCG